AGAGAAAACTTTATATTTAAAATTACTATAATGTGGTAGTAGCTGCGGTCTTCATGTAAATTATAAGTTTAAATGCTATAGTTATTTTTTTAAAAACAATAATATAACGTAATTTTTACACTTTTTCATAGTAAAAATTTTTTATTACAAAATCAAATATACTTAGCAAATTTTGTTTGCGTACCATAGTAAAAATTAACTGTTTTCATGTTAGAATATGGCTTAACAAAATAATTACTTTATTTACGTGATAAAAATTAGTATTACCATAGCAAAAGTTAAGTCGGAATCATGTGAGAGTCCATCGAAAATACAAGACATAGTAAAGTGTAATTTAAAACTGTATTAAAACTTAATATAAAATTTTCTCCGTGTAGATTTAACAGTGTAGTGACCCTTGATAGTATGGTTGAGGCACCAAATTGTACATAGTACGATAAGGGTTAAGTTCCAAAAGCGTACACTAGTTCAGTCACAGAAAACAGACCTCAGACCTAACACCGCCGCACACGCACGTGACGTCCGTGCATGTGCATTTCGTGCAATTGCCTGGTGCACATTACGTAAGTCGCGGGGGTATCTCCTTCTCCTTCTGTTTCCCGAGAGTTAGCGCAGTGCCGATCGCGAGACAAGGCAATCGCATTTCCTGCGTGCGTGTGTGGTCAAGGTCGCGAGAGCGTGTGCGTGCGAATCGCCGTCGATCAGGACGCCGGTTGTTATTTCGAGATCGCGATGTGACGCGAAAGAAACTGCATAAAGCCGGTGATAAATATTTTTAGAGACTCGTCGCTTGAAGAAGAGCCGCGTTTTTCACCGTCTGGAGAACGTGACCACCGACGCTCTTTTTCTCTTTTTTATAATTCTTGCAACACGACCTTGATTCATTGCTTGATTATTTAATATCAAGTTTCTCGTCTTGTACACACGTCGCGTAATTTCACGTTAATTATTCCCTGAGGGTATGTTTCGCTCCGCGCGGTCAGATTTTCACGGTCAGATACCGAACCGCATATACATATTTTAGAAATAACCGTTCGCCCACGCACGATACGTCGCGTAAACATTGTCGAGGTCCTCGGCTTTCACGTAGCGCACATTCATCTCCGTCGCGTCCATCCCCTTTTCTTTCTTTTCGATTTTTTTTTTCTTCGTCTTTGTTTTACAAGCGAAATAAATTATCGAAAAAAGCGAGATTTATGCCGAGTCCCGATCCGACATTATTCTCTCTCGCTTACGAACGAAAGCGACAGTGGGACGCTTCTACGGGAGGAAAACGTCGGCGGAGTCACCGACACGCCGCGCACTTTTTGCGGGCTACTTCGACGAGCGCTTTTTCCTCGTGAGCGAAGGCCAGCTAGTGGTGGGTTTGAGTCAGCACATTCGTCTTTGCGCTACTTCGCGAAGATATCCCGCGGGAGAGGATTCCCGAGGGAGAATGTGCCGCCCGCGCTCTCGCCACCCGCGAATCTCTGGGTTTCTCGACCGGCGGCGACCTCGCGAGGGCAAGTTCTCCCTTTCTCACCCTTTCTTTCTCCTTGTCTTTCTTTAGTCGGGACTTTCTCTTCGGATTCTTCTTAAACGCGCAAAAAGCGTAAAATACGGTTGTCTGCATCAACAAGCCTTCGGTCTCGATGGTTAACTCCGTGCATTCACTGGAGTGCCTCTCTAGCTCATCTCGTAGCTTCGAAAATCACGATCACAATCAGAGAAAAACATAGCAATTGTATAGGTGACAATTATACAAGTTTTATATTACGTAGCATTAATGTACACACACGAAAAGAATAATTTTGCTAAAATACCTAAAAATTTTGTTACTCTCTAAATCTGAATCAGTGAATAGTCACTGATTACCCAGTGGCATATTTTGCACTGGATAATCAGTGAAGTTCAACTAAAAAGGAAAGCTTGAGCGTTATATAATTAAAACACTGATATTTACACGTTAATTTGAATTTTTCAATATCATATTTATTGAATTTATGCATTAAAACAAGGTTAGTTAAACTACATACTAAAGATTAGTTAGGTTAGGGATCTCACATTTCATTCACTGATTACCAGTGGCATACTTGGCACTGATATCAGTGATTATTCACTGATTCAGATTTAGAAAGTAGATACAAATCTGAAAATAATTATATACACTAAGAAAAAATTATTTACTGGACTAAATTAACTTAGTTCGTTTTTATTTCTTTCAATGAAAAATGTATTTAAGTTAAACATATTACATAAATACAACATTTTCCAACGAAAGAAATAAAGACGAACTAAAATTAGTCGAATGACCAATTTTTTTCAGTGAGGACGCTAAATGACCAGAATGTCAAATCTTTTTACAGCATTGCTCATGTTTGAGTTTTTACGTAAATATGTTGGTGATCTAGCAAAATTATAATATTTTTAAATCTGTGTATCTAGTTAAATTGTTAAATACTTCAGCAAAATTATTTTTTCCACGTGTGTGTGTAGTTGAATAAATTATTTTATAGTTACAGTAACTAAAATAGTTTCCTCAGTACATATATTAATTTTACATATAAAACTTGTACAGCTGTTACCAATATAGTTCTCTCTACTATAATATCTCTTTCTCAAAGAGTGAGTGCCAGTCACTTGAATTTATAAGCCTCACCTCTTGAAGGACCATCCGTTATAATATTTCTTCTCATGTATGTTTTTTCGCATCTCGATAAAGTTGTTATTATTATTATATTCGAGTTATGGCTCTACTCGAAATGAATTTTAATCGTGATTGGAGATACTCCGACAATATAATATTCAGATATTTCCGAGCGATCAGACGGCTGTATACCGAATCGTCCAATACAATCCGGTTCAATTGGTCATGAATAACATGTGGCGCGTCTCCATCTCTCCTTCGATTCTCGCGTCGAATCCGTTCTCCGGTGACAGGATAATTTGATGAACGACAGAGAAAGGACGTCTCTACCAATCGAGAGGCGAGATGGCTACGCTCGGTTGTTTCGCAATCCGGGCCACGGTAAAAATTAAAGCGCTGTTTAAACCCGTGACTAATTACACACGTCACGCCTGGCACACTTAAAACGATTTTTCTCGAATCCTCGTTTCATCGTATTTCAAAGAAGCATCTCGTAATTACGTCCAATCGTCGAAGCGCTAATCTTGTTACTTTTAGAGAAAAATGATTCGAAATTATATATATTTGTTGTAAAATTTTGATGACACGGAAAATGTCATATATTTACTGTAATTTTACATTTCACAGTTAAATCTTGCAGCGATTAATCACAGGTAACTGCGCGGTAATGACGGTCCAACTGTTTGATCGATGATAAAATCGAACAGATAACGACGCGCATTCGAAATCGGGATTATGAATAAGTCAACTGATATAAAGGATTGCAATAATCTGTCATAATATCGCTCGTATTTATCGCGGTAAAAAAATAACTTGTTATGTACATTAATAATAAGCTTTCGTAAATACGCTGTAAAATATATTTCGCTCGAATGTATTTTCCAGATTGATGGCTTTCGTTAAAATGTAATATTTTTCCTTCTAAATGATACAGTTTTTGTTTTCCTTCTATTTTTTTCCTTGTCATACATTTTTGAAGTATTGAACGCTTTTTGTATAATTTACATCTCTCTTAGGCTCATTTCTATCAATATAGATTAACTTTGATATTAGTTTAAATTATTTTTTATCTTTTTCTAATTCTTAGAACTAGAAGAAGATAAAAAGTGAATTAAATCAAAATTAAAGTAAATCTATATTAATAGAAGTGGACAATAGTGGCATAAAAAGTATACGAATCTTAATATATGGATGAAAAAACAAGTTCCGAATCGGGACCATAATTAAGAACGTGCATTGAGAGAAAAATATTTCGTATTTGTAACTATAATTATAATTATTACTGCTATAATAATAATAATAATAACAATAACTATGTATAGTTTTAGCAACAAATGTATATAGTTGACAACCTAAAATGACTGTGTGTGTGTAATTATAGTTATTATTACCATAAAATAGTTGAAATTACCATAAAATGATTCAAGTGATAATAATTTTATAGTTATTTTGAGTCATAAAAAATATGGTTGTCCCAAAATATAACTATAAAATTTTAGTCACTTGAATTATTTTTATGGTAATTTCAACTATTTTATGGTTATAATAACTATAGTTATATGTATAGTCATTTTAGCAAGGTTGGTAAGTTAATTTTTTTAAAACTAAGTTAAGTTAAAGTTAATAGTCTGGAAAATTTAACTTAATTAAAATATAAGTTAATCCATAATAAAATTAATTGAATTAAAAGTTAAGTTAATAAGAAAATTAAAAAGTTAAAGTTAAATTTGTTTCGAACGAATAACTGAAAAAAAAAGAAAAAGTTTGACTATTTTACATAATTTTTCGTATTTTTCCTTTCTTACAGCTTATTTATTAAAGAATCTGGTTATTTTTGTTCACAAGTAACGATTATACAATATCAAATTACTAAATTACATACTCATTAGCCTCTCGCATTGTAACTAAGGATTAACTTAAAAAAAAAATCAAATTAAAAGTTAATAGTTACTGATAAAATGTAAACTAATGTAACTAAATTAAGTTAAAAAGTTAAGAGTCTAAAATGTAACTAAATTAAGTTAAAATTAATTAACTTTTTAACTTAACTTTTATCTTTTTAACTTAGCACTACCCAACCCTGCATTTTAGGTTGCCAACTATATACATAGTTACTGTTATTATTATTATAGCAGTAATAATCATAATTATAGTAATATGTAATTATAGTTACAAATACCAAACATTTTTCTCTCAGTATGACTTAGTGCGTTATTACCTCAGGCCCTTCACTAGAAGGGAACATGAGCTACTTGTCGGTGAATGCCGTGGGATTCAAGGTCGCTGTACGATTCGGTGAAGGATTCTTTCGTAGCTTCGCGTCCGTCGTTATCCCTTCCTGCTTCTGAAAGCCACTCTTCTCTTTCTACCGTAGAATAGTTAAGCAACCGGTCGCGCGATCGATCACGAACGAACCAAAGAAGTGCAGTGAGCAACCATACCAAATCGATACCAAAAGAAGGAGTACAGTTCGGGCGAGGGAGGGCAGGACAAGGTGGAAGGTACAGGACTTCTTTCGCGAGATGACGCGGTGCGGACGGGGCGAGGGTTCCGTCTGAAAAGAAACGAAAAAGGTCGAGCCACGCGGGGTGGTGTGCCACGGGGGGTGGTGGTGTGCGTGTGTGTGAAAAGATCGGCAAAATAAATCGGTCCACGGTGACGAGTGAAAGTAGATCGGGCAGGCAGCCGGGCAAGATGATGAAGAAGGAGAAGCCGATGATGTCGGTGACGGCCATCATCCAGGGCACTCAGGCCGTCGCTCAGCATTGGGCACGTGGCAACTGTACGTATTATATATATCCATAATATATCCTCTATGTAATCGATGTACGATGCCGATCGATCGCCATGCGCTAATTTCACGAAATCACCGGAGAAACGATATCGCGGTCTATAACGATATAAGTGAAACTTACTGGCCAAATTACTGCGCACTTGAAGTCTCGTTTTTGAATTATTTATACGTGACCATTAGCCTTGAGAGAGGATATCGTTTGAAATTATATATTTAACAGTGTTTTAAGAAGATATAATAAAATTCTATAATGAAACTACATTACACGGCACTTTTTATGTATTATAGTTATACGAGCGATCGTTAGATCTCTATTTTTAATTAAGATTAGCAAATGAGTCGTGCCGAACGAAACCGGGACAAGAGAATCGAGGCACGGATTTTCATGAAATATATTATGTTTGAGTTTTAGGTAAGGGAAAGAACTTTTGTCAAATGCTTAGAATTAATTAGCGAATTCTACGTACATAATAACGTGTGATAAAAATAGGTACATTCTTAGACAACGACGTGCTCATTAAAAAGTAATGTAATATTTATGAAATCACCGACAATAAGAGATCGCTGACGTTGATGATTCAGCCGTATATTTTTCTCGCTAATACGTCATTTAAATTGATAAAAATTCCGTTTCATTAGTGGTTTGTAGATTGCGAGAGCAATTGACCTCGCGTGATTGTTACCTCGCTCGGAAGGAAAATCGTATCTCTATGACGAAGAAAGCGGGGTAATGTTATTTCGATTATACGATTCCACATAACAAACTTCATAACAGGGTCATTAAGTGCATTGAAGCGAACCGAACTGAAATGTGGTTTTCGCGGGCTGTCGTGGCTATGCTAATTAACGCTTTACTATTTCCAAGTATCGGCGTTAAATCGTAACTTAAAAATATTTAAACGAGGTGGATTATCCTACGAATAATAATTAGCGTGTTGGTGCTAGACTGTCGATTAGCACCGCGGTTTCAAGGTTTGGTTTTACTCCACCACACAACTCAACACTCTATTCATCAATGACACATTTTTCTCCATGGTAGCCGTGAAACTCAACGATATTAGCGCAAACAATTAATTCTATGTAATTCCTGTTGCACAAACGAATCGTAAAGATGCAAATTAAATGCCTTTGTTTTTCAGAAAAAATTATTAGCGTGGTTTATAGTCGAGTAAGGCTTGACTTGTTTATTGAAGTCTAAAAATCGTGATGCGAGACGCGGAATGAACGATTTAAAAAATTAGTTAGCTGCAGGTCTGAAAACAAAATTTTATTAGATTGTTAAAATAATTATATGGAAAGAAGAATTTCATTGAAGTATAATATCTAAAATTTAGCTAAATACAGATCTTTGTTGAATCAAAGTAATTATGTATAGGAATCTGTAACATGATAACCAATGTTGCAAAAAGTTTTGACATTCTAGCAACCAGCTTGAGCGTCCTACATAATTATTTTGACAGTTCAACAAAAAATGTTTAACTAAAGTTTTGACATCATTGCTCATCACGCTCGAGTTTTCCAACATAATTATTTTGGATCGGCAAAATAATTTTCTGATCTACCTTTTAAGAATCTCAACAAAGTTATTTCCATCTACTCTCTAAATCAGTGGATAGTTACTAATTACCCAGTGGCACTGATAATCAGTGAAGTTCAACTAAAAAAGGAAGAATGTTTGAGCATTATATAACTAAAATACTGATATTTGCACGTTAATTTCAATTTTCCAATACCATATTTATTGAATTTAAGCACTAAAACAAGGTTAGTTAGATCACATAATAAAGATTAGCTAGGTTAGGGATCTCACATGTAATTCACTGATTACCAGTGGCATACTTGGCACTGACATCATTGATTATCCACTGATTCAGATTTAAAGAGTATCGAAAGACCAGAGATTTTGGGCTACGTTTTCATCGATTCGGACATACTGTGGACATAACACAGCCGCTCTTGAATTAACGTGTCGTATCCGTCGCGACATGCTGAAGCGAAGTGAGTCACCCGGTTCGTGTGATAGCCTGCCGTCTTGCATCAAGCGACCGATACGCGCCGCACGGTCGACGCATATACATCGTATGTAGATGCTAAATGTACGGGGTGAAGGTCGGCTATTGAGACGTGAATGGCGCAATTTGCGGCAGCGGCGGCGACAGCGGTAGCGAGCTGGACGAGCGCGCTCGTTATCAGTCACCGCTTCTAAAGGCGGCCTTAGATCGGGCCTTTAAAGCGCGAACGAGCGAGCGAGAAGGTCACGCGAATGCGCCCCGTTATCAGTGCCCGCGGACGCGATTTACGAGGGCGTTTTTGAGCCTTATCGCGTGCATACGTTCCTCTATATTGCCGCGCAACATGCGCGCCCTGTTCCTCGCGCGCGCCCGCCAGAATGTCGGCACGAAACACGGAGGAACTTTCCGCATAGAACGTAAACATCGCATCGCGGGCAATTTAACCTAACCGGTGTACGGAGATCGATGCTCCTTCAGGAAAAATTGATGCCGACCGAGAACTGACCAAGTCAACGTCGCGACGATGAAATCTCGTTGTACTCATTACTACTCTCTGATAACATTTTTTTCTGTTTTTCTATCTGGACAGTCTGCTACAAAAGTATATAGATTATTTACTTGCTTGTAGATTATATACTGCGCGTCGGGAGAATTTTGCGGAAGCATTTGTTACTACTGTCTTTGTCTTCTATCATTACACTAATTATTAAGTTGTCGAAAAAGTTCTGAATTACTTTTTACAACATGGTTTTTACATACAAATTTATTTAGGGACAACAATGATTAATATAATTAGTTTTTTGAAGGGTAATTTAGAATTTTTTGACAGTCCATTATTATTATTAGATTACTTATTTATTATTTGATTTCTTCAGAACTTTTATTTAAAACATTATTATTAGATTACTTATTTATTATTTGATTTCTTCAAAACTTTTATTTAAAACACACTATTTTGAATACAAGCGTATTTTGTATTTTTTATTTTAGCAGATCACATAAAAGTATTATGTATTTTGTATTTAAAATCAAAAGATTGAGAGCTTTTTGTATCTTGTAATTCAAATAATAAGGTTGATTATCAATGTTAGTATTTGAAATACGAAATACAAAATACTTTCATAATCTTTTTAACACTGAAATATAAAATACAAAATACTTTTATATATTCCCATGAAATATAAAATACAAAATATTTTCATGTACTCCGAACAAAAATAAAATACAAAATATAATTGTCTTATTAATACTGTTTTTCAAATAAAAGTATTTCAAATACATGCCCAGCCCTGGATTACTTTTACGTCTCTGTTGCCCCACCGTGATCGTGCGAATTGACTCGATCGAATCGGATAATGTAGTCGCAAAATAATTCCGCCCCGGGCGAAATTCATGGTCACAAACCTGATCGCGATCGATCATGTCGTTGACAGCCGCGTCTGTAGACAAGAGCTCGTCTGTTTGCCGAATGGCGCGAAATTGCCCCACAAAGCTACGTCGTCGGTGTTATCGGATAAGACGCCGCGCGAGTTTCTTTCTTCTTATCATTCACGATGCACCAGGTAATTCTTCACGTCAAGATAAAAAGAAAACACGATAATTCGCGGAATGAAGAGAGAGCTATCGCGTGCATTATCAGCCGGTCAATGCGCGCCGTATCGCGACGAAACGTCGATCAATCATCCACGCTGTCACGTCAAATTATAAATGCAACACATCCACCGAACTTACGAATTCATTTTTCTGCATGATTCGTTTCTCTTTACATCGTTCGCATGAAAAGTCTAAAGCCATGTATACACCTAGCGAACGAACACCGAACGCGAATGTTCGGATATTAGTGTTTATATTTGTGAGCAGTTTATTCTTTTTCTTGATTGTACGGAATACTAGTATTCGACCAGATTCGATATTCGTTCCATGTAGCAATTAAACTTGTGCGACTTTTATGTAACAAACAACAATACAAATTTTTACGTTTGCTGTTCGTTCGGTGTTCGTTCGCTAGGTGAATACGCGGCTTAAGACGTCGCGTGTTCCTTCGCAATGTAGTTCAAGCAAACTACGCGCCGATTATTTGTCAGTCTTAAAACACAGTCCTAAACCGAAGCTGGAGTAGTAATGTCACAAATTATAAAATTCCTAAAAATTATTAAATACATATTTTAATATTTTTATTTTAGTATTATTTTAATATTTTAGAAAGTATTTATAAAGTTGTGTTTTAAAAGAAGGAAAGATAGAGACCATTATTTATTCAGGTGATTCTAGTACTTCAATGAAAAGAAATATGCTAAACACATGAATGACCTATCGTATGTACTAATATTTATAATAGTAATTGCCTTATCTCGATCACGTTTGAATTAACCGCCGATTACCATCGATCGTGATTTACGTCGTTCAGGACGGACGAGGAGTTAATCACATCTTCGTGATCGAGGGTATGATCGTATGACGAGCATTTACTATTTATCGCGACATAACCGTGGCTGCACCGCCCACGAGTGGCATAGTTCCAATATGGTCGATGGAGATGATTGCATCGCGAGCATCTTGGATGATTTCAGTGCTGGGACGTCGCCCTAGAATTGACGATGATGGGCTTTATGATGCTGTTTGTACGTTGAGAGAAAAATTGTGATATTTCATATTTGCTACTACAATTATATATTATTATAATTATGATTATTGCTGCTATAATGTTAGTATAATGATAATGATTGTATACCTAGTTTTATCAACAAATACATATAATTAGCAACCCCGAAAATGTGATTATAATTATTATCATAAAAATGATTGAAGTTACAATAATTTGTAGTAATTTTTTTATGTTGGCTAAAAATGAATATAAATTATAGTTAAATTATTGTAATTACAGTCATTTTGTTGTCATTTTTTGTTATCAATTATAAATATTTATTGATAGAACTTTACGTATTATTTATTACTAACATTATAGCAGTAATAATC